ACTATTACATCATTCTGTTTTCAAGATGCCATAGTTGTCTTCTCTTTACTTCCACTTTTACTTTAGAATTGTTCTTGTCTTTCCTCTTGTTTCTGTTGTACATGTATTCCCTCTTCTTCTTTTAAATGAACATCTTTCTGTCTGGACATATTTTTGGCATCTGAAAGAAAGACTCTTATACCATTTTCTTAACTCTGTATTAAGGTAAATGTTCATCAAAAACAGGGTGTGGAGTTAAATAGCTAGGGCTGATATGTTGGTTTAGGTAACGGCCCTTCTGAAAAGGAATTGTGCTTGTCCACACTTTTCATAATGACAGCTCCTCTGTAAGAGTTTTGTATCTACCATTTGGTAAGTGGTCTTTGTAGACACAGAAAACTGCCTCTCTGATAGAGGGCAGCAAGATACTCAAAGTATCTCAACTTCTGTGTCATACTCAAATATGTACCCTTGGAATTTTCCTCTTCATAAAATCATAAAGACAAGTGACATTATGACTAATGTCTGTCAAATAGGTAGTGTTATGTCATACTTTTAATTGGGAGGACTCTGCTTTCAAGGAGGTTCCACAAACATGACAAAGAGCTTGTGATCATCTTTGCAATAAAACCTAGAGCTTTCAGTGAAGCAGCATAAAAAGAATTTTTAAAAAAGTCACTTATTTTTGATGATTTGTCTAGATAATAGATTGTGTGAGGATAAAGGTAAAAGAGACAAGCTGCATTCTAATATAATAAGTTGAACCTGTTGCCCTTATATGGGTGTGAAGGAAGTGATGTCATACTGCTATCTAAAAGAAATGGTTGCATGTGCACTTGAAAAGAACTAGCATCTGCATTTCTTCCCTTGACACTTTGCAAAAGCTTTGGATGCACTCCTTATCAACCTGAAACAACCATATTAATTTGCCTTTAAGAACTCTTCATGGTGTATTGGTGGAGTTTTCTCAGAACTTTCTGTTTAGATCAACTCGTCAGAGACCAGAAGAGCTTATGCAGGGTTCTCCACATCTAAAAATTTAACCATGGAGGAAGCTGCACAAAAGTGAAATGTGATTGAAAGCACAAATGCTTGTTCGAGCTTCTAGACCTCACATAATCAATGGTTGACTTCACAAATATTTTTTTATTTACCATGGCAACTCTGCAAGTTGAAATAAAATCATTATACAGAATTTTATAGCTTAGTGTAGTTTACAAATGTACCGGGTACCAAGTTGTATTGAAGTCAGACCAAAACTGCACGAGGATGAGCATTTTGAAAAAATTTCACTGAATCTTTTTAGTAACCATGGCAACATTTAAATTAATGACAAGTTTTATTGAAATTGGACCAAAACTGATGAAGGAGTAGCATTTCTGAAAAAATTTTACATACACAAAAATGAGCTTCTTAACATTGCCTAAACTTTTCACTGCATGATGTTTGAACACTTACTGATAGTATACAGATCAAAACTTTTAGTAACAAAGGCATAAAAATCTGGTATAACTCTTCTGTTTATAGGATTTATGAGGTTTTGACAGTGCTGAAAATAGCACCACATGGCTTTTCATACAAACGAGAGGTAACTCTAAAAATTTGACTTGGTGATCAACATTTTATTAGAACAGGGACCTAATATTCTAATATATGCCTTGATTAGAAAGACGTAAAAACAAGCAAGAACAAAGATGAGTAGATAAAAAGTAAAGCAAAACAACATTTTGCAGAGCTGCAAACCCTTACAATTTTGGCATAAGGCTTACGATTTGAAGGTCTAAATATGCCTTACAATTTATCTTTTAATCCTTACTGTTTCCATTTCTCTTCATCAAAGTTTGAAATACTGGTATTTTCATTATCTGCGTGCCTTTAGTTTTCACTATTTAAGTAAAAAAAGTCATATTACTTCCAGTGCTTACTTGAATTATCATTTTCCGTTTCTGTATTCACTTATAGTATCAAACATTTTAACGTGAGCAAAATGGAAAAATATCAAGTGGCCTGGGGGATAAATGGCCCCTTGACCTATTCTTACGGTGTTTCATTTCATGATCTTGGCAGCTCTGATTTTGAAAGGTTGAATTCACTTTGACAACAGAAACTTATTTTTTCTGCTTCTTGATAAGGAGACAATTTATTAATGCACTGAATCTTATTTTTTTGTAAATTAATCTTTTGTTACAGAGCAAACATGCTAGAATTCCTCAAAAAAATTCCCCAGAAAAAATAATTTTTGTGTGGAGATGTCTACTCATAATTGATCATCAGCTGATCGACTCTCAATTGTCATGCTTCACAGCTGCTGTTTCATTTTTCCGTTTTTCGACACTGCTTTTCCGTGACAAATCATACTGCTATTCCACGATTATATTTTTTGCTTTTTTGCTATTCCTCTTCCATTAGCTAGGTAAAAATCTTATCACAGTGACTCTTTTGCATAAATTGTAATTGTGGGTTTGCATATTTTTCCTATATGCTGCATCAGTAAAAAACATCTCTCTATTCTTTTAAACATTGACTTTTCTATACATGTACATGTATCCATTGTATATTATACATTGATTAAACGAATTGTTGCAGTATAATTTCCATGACTTCTGAAACTAATGCCAACCAGTGTGAACTGCAAATTTCATTCAATTCAATTTTCATCACACAGTTTGTTCATACTCACTAATCCTGACTAGAACTCTGTGAGAAAATACAAGAAAATACAGATAAATATGGACAACTAATTTATGCTAAGTGCTACCCGTGGCCATTGAAAAATCGCAGAAAAGAGGTACCAAATAAAGGAGATAAGACATCTATAGTTAAAACCAATTGTGGAAAAGATTAGTGAAGTAGTCGACAAATCGCAGTCTACGAAATACAATCATGAGCATTGACATAACTTGCGTTTACATTTTACACTTGTCAAGTTATCTCAGATAGTTACAATTAACGAACTGTGATATAACAATTCACAAATTATGAAATTTTGATTTACAATTTACAAATTAAAGTTTGCATATATGTACATTAAAATTACAGTGTTGGAATTTTTAATCCGTTGGCTTTCTATAGTAGTAGGTTCTGTCTATAAACCTCTTGTGGTTCATTAAATTTTACACCAAATTACAAAATACTGGTGAAGTTTTCAATACCTTGCTGGGGTATACAGTTTGATCTAACAAGTATCACAGTAGGTTTGAATCTAGATCCAGAGGTTACCCAGGTGTGGCATTAGATTTCACGGTAAAGCTGAGTTGATTTCAATGAAGCTTCATGTATGTGCCAAAGTCTTCTCTGTAAATAAATGCAATATTTTGCTCTAATTGCAAATATTTTTCAGTGAAATTGTATGCTCTTTCAGTAACACAAAAATCTTCAACATACTATTGATTCTTTCTAATTGCTTCAAAGTCTTGTCACTTCCTAAATAAAAACCTTATTTTAATTTGTTTCCATGACCTATAGTCAGTTACAAATACAGTAAAACTCGTTTATACCGAAGTCACTGGGACCTGTGAAATCACTTCGCTATATCCGTAATTCGTTATATCCGTATAAGAAATTCTTTAAATTTATATAGCTGGGGATCCAAGAAAAATTCTCTATATTCATGACTTTGTTATATCCGTGTTCGTACTACACAAGTTTTACTGTAAGGGGTAATTTTTTTTAGCTCACCTGAGCTGAAAGCTCAAGTGAGCTTTTCTGATCACCCGTTGTCCGTCTGTCTGTCCATCCGTCTGTAAACTTTTCACATTTTCAACTTCTTCTCAAGAACCACTGGGCCAATTTTAACCAAACTTTGTACAAAGCATCCTTGGGAGAGGGGAGTTTAAATTTTTAAAATGAAGGGCCAAGCCCCCTTCAAAGGGGAGATAATCAAGAAAAGACAAAAATTGGGTGGGGTCATTAAAAAATCTTCTTCTCAAGAACCACTGATCCAGAAAGGCTGAAACTTATATGGAAGCATCTTGGGGTAGTGTAGATTCTAAATTGTTCAAATCATAACCCCCGGGGGTAGGGCGGGGCCACAATTGGGTATCCAAGTTTTACATTGAAATATGTAGAAAAAATCTTTTAAAATCTTCTTCTCAAGAGCTACTGGGCCAGAAAGGCTGAAACTTACGTGGAAGCATACTGGGGTAGTGTGGATTCTATATTGTTCGAATCATGACCCTGGGGGTTAGGGCGGGGCCACATAAGTACTACAAGGGGGAGGGGGGGGGGGAAATCAGGTGAAAAACAGCAAGGCCAAAGTTACTCAGGTGAGCATTGTTGCCCATGGGCCTCTTATTTCTTTTGGGCAAAAGTTTCATTCTTGTCAATAAACAATAGCACCAACACCCAGTGTTAGAATAAAATAAGTAACATTGTTCAATCCAGCATCCAAACATGTTAAAAACCATGAAAACACTACTTGTACTCTTCAAAATCTTGTTACCTGAAGATTATCTGGTTAAATTTTATAATCTTGTTAAGTTATTTATGATTTTATTGAACCCCCCCTAAACTAACCCCCCCCCCCAAAAAAAAAAATGGGGGGGGGGGGGGCGGTGAAGATGGAGGGACCAAACTTTGGTAATGCAAGCAGTTGCAGATTTGAACTCCTGGCCCTCAATTTTGTAGGCTGGTAGCATTAGCTAACAAAGTAAGCCTAGGTTTAGAGATGTCAATCATAAATTATACATGTTACACATTGTTTATAATCCATAAGCATGAGAGAAAACTAAAGTGGGGGGTTTTCTTCGTTAAACAACATACCTTTTGCAAGAAGGGGGTGGGGAGGGCTAAGTAATTCATTATAATGCTGCAAATTTTTTGTTTCTGCTATGCATGCAGACCTTGCTTTTCATTTTCTTGTTTGTTTTATGAGGAAGACTTGGATTGAGTTTCAACTGTTGTGGTCTATTTTGAAGTGAATCGTTTTCTAAATGGATAGCATGCTTGTGAGACAATAGATTTGTATAAAATTATTTAGTTTTCAATTAAAAATATTAAAGTAAATTAATGATATATTTTAGATGGTTTGTACAGAGTAGACGCTTAACCTATGGCAAAAGTCACTGATTTCCAGTGGCAAATACCTGTGCCAGAAGTTCTTCTGAAGGGGGCTGTGTTTGACAGATGGGATGAGGTATGTTTTTATTTAAAATACTTGTTGAATTGAATACAAATGTACTGGTAAAATGAATATTAACAAGAAGAAATTTGCATAATTTTTAATTGAGCATGTTTGAGTATCAGAAGGAAAAAAGTACAGTTGAACTGAACTTCGGTATCTCAAACACCGACATCTCGTATACCATGGATCCGATATGTCAAAGTGATTTGGAAGTTCCAACTACTAATTCTTTACGTATTTTTACCTCAACATCTCGAATCCTCTGATATCTCAAAGTTTTTTCTCAGTTCAATCGTATTCAAGATAACGTTGAAATCTTTCTTGGGTTGTTAGTACGGGAATTAATGTTGCAACTGTTGCAGAAAATACATAACTCATGTAAGCGGGTTATGTAAATTTTTTCTGCAATAGCTGCAACGTTAATTCCCATACTAACAACCAAAGAAAGACTTTTTATTGTTTATATTTATATCTGTATAAATAATAATTTAAAGTTGGATTAATTATTGTATTATTGATATGTACAACATAGTATGTTTCATTGATGGAACAGCCACTGATCAAGAAACCTGTACAGGTGATATGCCTAGTGTTGTTCATGAAGTGATAAATGGCAATTGTTTTCTTTAGAAATGAAGGAGAAAATATTCAGAGGATGTAAATATTTACCTATGACAGGAAGTCAGTAGTTACTGTAATTTATGGAATTGGTAGATCACTTGAAAAGGTCATTTATCCATATCCATGATTATTTAAAATCTGATGTTTTAAATCTTGGTTTCAATGAATAAGATTTTCTACCCCCTTATAAAAAGAGTTGTAATTCAGAGCAGTTAACTATTTGATACTAGTATTAACCAGAAGTCTCTGACGAGACTGTAGCTCTACTGGTTGTATTTATAAAGGAAGATAAAAGTAGCACTTGGACTTGAAACTTTGCAACAGCAATAAACAGAATAATGATCCTTGGTTTAGTCTCTTTTGTGGCAAAATTTATTATTATATCAGACTAAAACTGTAGGAGGAGTAGCCTTTTAAAACAATTTTACATAAATTTTGATTTAAGTAACCATGGCAACATCATTCAACAAAATCAAAAAACAATAACACCAATTATGTATCTCTGTAGTCTACTTGTATGCCACATTATACTGAAATCAGACAAAAAGTGTAGGAGGAGTAGCGTTTTGAAAGTATTTCAAGAAATTTTCTACTTTTAGTAACCATGGCAACACCGTTCATTGAAATCCAAAACTGGTATAGAGAATTATGTATCTTAGTGTAGTCTAATTGTGTGCTAAGTTATACTAAAATTAGACCAAAACTGTAGGAGGAGTAGCATTTTGAAGGTATTTCAAGGAAATTTCTATTTTTAGTAACCATGGCAACACTGTTCATCGAAATCCGAAACTGGTACAGAGAGTAATGTTTCTTAGTGTAGTTTACTTGTGAGCTAAGTAATACTAAAATCAGACCAAAACTGTAGGGGTGGCATTTTGAAGGTATTTCAAGGAAATTTCTATTTTTAGTAACCATGGCAACAATGTTCATCAAAATCAGAAAATCAATATAAAGAATTATGTATCTTAGTGTAGTCAACTTGTTTGCCAAGTTATACTGAAATCAGACCAAAACTGTAAGAGGAGTAGCATTTTGAAAGTATTTCACAGAAATTTCTACTTTTAGTAACCATGGCAACACCGTTCATTGAAATCAAAAACTGATATAAAAAATTATGTATCTTATTATAGTCTACTTGTGTGCCAAGTAATATTGAAATCAGATAAAAACTATAGGAGGAGTAGCATTTTGAAAGTATTTCACAGAAATTTCTATTTTTAGTAACCATGACAACATCGTTCATCGAAATCAAAAACCGATATAAAGAATTACGCATCTTAGTGTAGTCTACTTATGTGCCAAATTATATTGAAATCAGATAAAAACTGTTGGAGGAGTAGCATTTTGAAAGTATTTCACAGAAATTTCTATTTTTAGTAACCATGGCAACACCGTTCATCGAAATCAAAAACCGATATATAGAATTACGCATCTTAGTATAGTCTACTTGTGTGCCAAGTTATATTGAAATCAGATAAAAACTATAGGAGGAGTAGCATTTTGAAAGTATTTCACAGAAATTTCTATTTTTAGTAACCACGGCAACACCGTTCATCGAAATCAAAAACCGATACACAGAATTATGTATCTTAGTATAGTCTACTTGCGCGCCAAGTTATATTGAAATCAGATCAAAACTGTAGGAGGAGTAGCATTTTGAATGTTTTTCACAGAAATTTCTATTTTTAGTAACCATGGCAACACCGTTCATCGAAATCAAAAACCGATACACAGAATTATGTATCTTAGTGTAGTCTACTTCTGTGTCAAGTTATATTGAAATCAGACCAAAACTGTAGGAGGAGTAGCATTTTGAAAGTATTTCACAGAAATGTCTATTTTCAGTAACCATGGCAACACCATTCATCGATTTTGGATTGATTTTTGGATCGATTTCGATATCGGATTTTGATTTCAATGAATGGTTTTCAGGGTTCGACACTCATCAAAATTTGGTCTCGCCATTTAGGCAACCTTGGCACTGATTTCAGGTTGCCCGAATGAATTTCAGGTCACCCGAACAAAATATCAAATGAAACAAAAATGTGCAATTGTTTAAAATTTGTTAAGATAACAGAAGTTGTGCTTTTGTATTATAAAATGTAAACTAGACATTTTTGGAATGTCAGAAGCTTTCTTCCAGTATTTTATCAAACAAAAAAAAAAAGAAACAAATATTAATAAGCAGAATCAGAATGCTAATTAGGCTTTAAAAAATTATGTTTGTTTCCTGTAATATTCCCAATAAATCAAGGGTTGGAAGGTCGGGATTTTTTTTTTTTTTTTTTTTTTTTTTTTTTTTTTTTGGCTAATGTACAACCTCACCACATATTGACACAAAATAAAGTTTCTAGTTTAAAACATTCATTTTTACTTACCCAGGGTTCTCATTAACGCAAGAATCTGCGTCCTAGACGCAGCAAAATTACTTGGGACGCAAGGTTCTTAAAATCGATGCGTCCGCGGACTCATGATCGGACGCGTCCTCGTTAGCGAGAAAATTCGGGTAATTTCAAAAACGGGGAATTTAGATATTAGGATTTGTCAAAGAAATATTTAATCGAAACCTTCCTGTATTTATCATAAAGTTCATCCAAGAAATAACTTTTCTTGTACTTATTTCTCTTTTTTTTAAACAGGGATTGATCATAATTAAGATACTTCATGTTTATTAGTCCATAGTCATAATAATGTCGCATGCCAAACTCCGACAGCTGTAAACACACTGCAGCTTCTTCTTTTTTTTTAAAAAAAAAAAACACTTTTGAATCTTGAATGTCTACATGTAGAAACCATAATTACTGCTTGTATACACAATGCGGCTTGATTATCTCGTGAATTTCACCCAGTGCAGACGACCGACAGGATTAGTTACGCCTCATTGCACATGACACCTGTGATTGTATAGTCAACTTTCGGCTACTAGTTGATTATGCAACAGTTAATTTTAGCTTTATAAACACCAAGTTAATTTTTATGGCAACTGATTACGCGTGTATTTTAGAATATGGCTTGAATGCATTACCAGTTTATATACTTGAATGTTAATATTGCGTAAACAAACTGATAAAATGATAAAGATTTTTATTGATGTTTGGATGGAAGGATACTGCAATAATTTAGTTGGGACTCAACATAATTATTCTGGGACGCATCAAATTTAGCTGGGACGCAACCTTCTCAGAAATCTTGAGTCCTGGGACTCAAGTTAGCAAAATCCTAGTGAGAACCCTGTTACCATAAAGGCCTAAAAAAAAGGGGGGTCAAACAACCCTGGACTGAATTAACCAGGTGTGATGTTTACAGTGGACACCCAACATGGCTGTCTAGCAGCATAAAAGACATCAGAAAGTTGTTGGGGGAAATGCTAGATGTTACAATAATGATCATTACTCTTTATATATATGGTGATTGTTGACTAGGTTGACATATTTTATATCTCAAATAAAACTTAATTTAATACTTTTGGTAAAAATTACATTAGCTGATTGATCAAACGCAGATTTGGCAGAAAGAAAAATCCACGAGGCTGCTATTTGAATGTTCGGTCGGGTTACAGGAAACAATGTTTTCAAGGCCTTATAAAGTTTATTTTGAAATATTAAACATTATTGAATATTCCCAACTCGTCCCAGGTCGTCATTTGGGTGAGCCAGACTGAAAATCAGGTCGTCAAAAATCATCCCGGGATGGAAATGACGAGGTGACGAGCGTGAATGTCGAACCCTGGGTTTTGCCATGGTTACTAATTATTGAGATTTCTGGGAAATACATTCAAAATGCTACACCTCCTACAGTTTTGGTCTGATATCAATATAATTTGGCAAACAAGTAGACTATAATAAGATACATAATTCTGTTTATCTGTTTTTGATTTCAAAAGGACGGTGTTGCCATGGTTACAAATATAGAAATTTCTGTGAAATACTTTCAAAATGCTACTTCTCCTACACTTTTGTCTGATTTCAGTATAACTTGGCAATTACAAGTAGAATACACTGAGATACATAATTGTCGTTATTGTTTTTTGATTTTGTTTGAATGATGTTGCCATGGTTACTTAAATCCAAATTTCTGTAGAATTGTTTTAAAAGGCTACTCCTCCTACAGTTTTAGTCTGATTGCAATAAATCTTGCCACTAAAAGAGACTAAACCAAGGATCATTATTCTATTTATTGCTGTTGCAAAGTTTCAAATCCAAGTGCTACTTTTATCTTCCTTTATAAGTACAACCAGTAGAGCTACAGTCTTGTCAGAGACTTCTGGTTTGTAATGTTATATTGTGTGCCTTTATTTTCAGGAATCAGCTACTCTAGAGCCAAAATGTATTGTAAAGGTTGATGAATATGGATTCTTCATCAACTGGCAAAGCACAGATCGAGTAAGATTTCTTTTCATATTGAAAATCCTCCATGTTTATGTCATTTATTTTTAGCTCACCTGAGCTGAAAGATCAAGTGAGCTTTTCTGATACATTTTGTCTGGCATCCATCTGTCTGTCCGTCTGTAAAATTTTCACATTTTTGACTTCTTCTCAAGAACCACTGGGCCAATTTCGACCAAACTTGCCACAAGCATCCTTGGGTGAAGGGGATTCAAGTTTATTCAAATGAAGGGCCTTGGCCTCTCTCAAGGGGAGATAATTAAGAATTGGTGAAAATTTGGTGTCATCTTTTGAAAAAATCTTCTTAAGAACCATTGGGCCAGAAAAGTTGAAACTTAGGTGAAACATTCACTACATAGTTAGATTCAAGTTTGTTCAAATCATGGCCCCGGGGGGAAGGGTGGGACTGCATTGGGGGATCAAAGTTTTACATGGGAATATATAGGAAAAAAACTTTTAAAAATCTTCTTCTCAAGAACAACAAATCCATGATTAGTCATATTGATATGGAAGCATTCTCAGATGTGTAGATTCAAATTTGTTCAAATCATGACCCCTGGGGTAGGGTGGGGCCACAATGAGGGTCAAAGTTTTGCATAGGAATTTATAGGAAAAATCTTTAGAAATTTTCTTTTCAAGAACAACACATATTGATTTGGAAGCATCTTTAGTTAGTGTAGATTCAAGTTTGTTCAAATCATGACCCCCGGGGTAGGATGGGGCCACTATTGGGGATCAAAGTTTTACATAGGAATACAGTCAAACTTGTCATAGCGGTCACCTTTATCCAGCGGTCACCTGTCCTATGCGGTCATTTTATTTCCTTTAATGTAACTCTATTAAGCGGTCACCTGCGTAACCCGATCAGCGGTCATCAAATTTCATGTAAAATCGCCGTTTTACCTCGTATATAGCGGCCATTTTGTCCAATCACGTGACCAGATCTAGAGTCAGGTGACTCCCAATTACTGTCACTAATGTAAATAATTAGTCTAGTGTGGCGAGATCATCGAAAAAAATTGGCCTAATTAAAACCATTTAAAATATTGGATAATTTATTTATTCTTTTAACAAAACTCAAACAAGGGTGCTAATGAATGAAATAGCTATCAGGAAAACGAACTTATGAGAATCTTAGATTATAGAATTGGAATCTGATTTAAAAAATTCTGAGTGATATTTTAAAAAAGAAACGCATTCTTATTTATCTATTAATGGATACAATATTAAGGTGTTTTCTAATTATTAGTTCACGTTTGGCATGCCCAACTCAGATAGGTGTTATTGTGTAAACGCATGGCAGGCAGTTTTTGACACATAGGAAACGTATTATTTGTAGATACCCTAATTAACTGTTTTGTATACACAATGTGTCCTGATTATCTCGTGATTTTCACCTTGATTAGTCACACTTCACTGCTCACAACACCTGTGAATTTGATATCAATTTGTATTGTGCACTGCTTGGATCAACTGAGAGTACATATGACTTGTCTGCATGTTTATTATGCAATGATTTATGTATTTTTAAACATACAATTGTTAAGTTTAATACGTAATTAAACATGTTTTTTTAGATACAGTTTAGATAAAAATACCTCATATTTAATTCATGACATTACATGATAATTTCTATAATAATAGAAAGTTTTGTAGTTGTTTGGACGAAGGATAATGCAATGCCCTATTAGACTCAATATATTTTTGTTGGAGTCATCAAATTTAGCTTGAACTTAATCTTGAGACGTACTATTTAAAATTTATAAAAAAAAAACTTAGTGAGACCATTGATGTCTTATTAAACATCTTTCTTTAATATTCTATGATGTAGTATTTTAAAACACAGAACTTACTTAAATTGGAAAAGAATTTTTCTTGAAAAAGATGATCCTCTATTCAAAGGTCACCTCTCTATAAAGGTCACTCTTAATGATTCCCGCAGGTGACTGCTTAATACAGGTTTGACTGTATATAGGAAAAGTAAAAATCTTTTCAAGAACAATGAAAGAAGATTAGTCATATTGATATGGAAGCATCCCCATGTATTGTAGATTCAAGTTTATTCAAGTCATCCTCCAGTTGTAGGGTGAGGTCATAATGGGTTTTACAAATGAACATACATGTATATAGGAAATATCTTTAGACATCTTCTTCTCAAGAACAACAAAGCCATGATTAGTCATATTGATATGGAAGCATCCTCAGGTAGTGTAGATTCAAGTTTGTTCATATCATGCCCCCCCCCCCCCCCCCCCCCCCCCCAAGTAAGGTGGCAGACATCTCTGAAATTCTGTTTTCAAGAACAGCAAAGCCATGATTAGTCATATGAATATAGAAGCCTCATCAGATAGTTTAGATTCAATTTCATTCAAAACATGGCACCTGGGGGTAGGGTGTGGCTAGAACAGGCAATCAAAGCTTTACATATGAATATATAGGAGAAGAAATCTGATGTCAGATGAAGAACAGCAAGGCCATATTGACTCAGGTGAGTGTTGTGGCCCATGGGCCTCTTGTTTTTATGGTCATTTCAAGTAACTGCTTACCTGATCTAAATATTAAAATGAGCTTTTCTAGTCAAAGTGTCAATAGTGTCATTCTGTCCATATATTGTATGTTGCCTGTAGACTTTTCACATTTTTAACTCACCTGAGCTCTTGTGAGCTTTTCTGATCAAAATTTGTCTGTGTCTATCGTTGTTGTTGTTGTCATCATCATCTATGTCAAACTTTTCACATTTTCATCTTCTTGTCTCGAGCCACTGGGTCAATTTAATCAAACTTGGAACAAAGCATCCTTGGGTGAAGGGGATTCAAGTTTGTTCAAATGAAGGGCCAAACCCTCTTCAATTGGAGATAATGAAGAACTATTGAAAATTTTATCTTTATATAATCTTTTAAAAATCTTCTCAAGAACTACTGGACAAGAAAAGATGAAACTTATGTTAAAGTTTCATTACCTAGTGTAGGTTGCCCGCGTGGCGCAGTGGTAGAGCGTCTGTTCTAGAGTTCTGGAGTAAGGAGTTGAAACTTACGTCTTACGGGTTTGAATCCCACTGTGGGACATGGAGACTGGATGAGACCGTATAAAGCAATGTCCTGTGTCGCAGTAGATGCTGGCACAAAAAAGGTCCCTCACTACTCAATGGCCCTGAGTGCCGAGTATAGGTCAAAATTTACAGCTCTCCATCGGCAAGTGGGGCGTCTCCATATGAGTGAAAAATTCTCGAGAGGGACGTTAAACGACAAAAAAGAAACAAAAAGCCAGTGTAGAGTCAAGTTTCTTCAAAACGTAGCATGGGGCTACAATAAGGGGTCAAAGTTATACATAGGAATATTGTGAAATCACACATTTTGAGGGTTCAAATTTTCTTAGTAGGAAAACTTATTGGATTATTGGGATTTGATTTCATGGATGAAGCAGAAATCACACAGACTGCAATATGAAATAATGTTAATAAGTTACGTCGCTTTAAAGAAAGAAATACCTCATGTTTTTTTATGTGTCAAGAGATGTGTGCTATTTTTAAAAGTTGGAAAACCTGATGAATGAATTTACTTTAACAGCATTTTGTCTTACATAACTTCAGAATTTTCAGAATGAAATTCTTGAATTATGGCCATTTGATTCATCACCAATCTCGCAATAACAACACCCTCATTTTTCTTGAACGTTTTTCCTACTATACAAAATTCCCCTTTATAATGCCAAATTCACATACTGCCATCTGCCATCCTGTTTTCACTACAGACGTCTATTTCAAAGTGTCAATTATCTCGATATACCGCCACAGGTGCATGTAGTCAGTGAAGCGGCTAATTAAGTGTCGCTGTCTAGATCATCTTTGTAAAACCAGACAAGGTACATGTCAATAAAATATTAAATAAACAATAATTTTTAACATCAACTGTACAGTTATTATAATTTTGTTTTCTGTTGAGTAAAATTAATTTAGTCATGGCTTCGCAACGAAAGCTGTTGTTGTTAAAGTAAGCTGACAATGATATTGTTTTGACAATTCCTACTTCAAACAATGCAAAGCTTGCTATAAAAATAGTAATACAGTACGTATTAATTGCGAAAATTTTAGCAACAATAATGCCATAAACAAATTTATTTACAAGAATTCTTATTACATACTATTAGCAATGGATGACAACAGTTGACACAGCATGTTTCTTTTAAAATATCAGATGTTTAGATTCACATGCCTGTACATGTATTTATCTTATAATAGTGTATTTTGTTTTAAAACTAAATTATTATATGTAAAAAAAAAACTATTTGAAGCATTTTCAAATTTTGAAATATAAAATTATTAATAGAATAACAAGAATATAAACACTTCCAAGAACGGTATCTCTTTCTTGTTTCCCAAAAGATGGGAAATTCAATTCATCGCCAAATTCATTGTACCGCCCTGATAAAGGCGGCAGTTTATTGAGAATTAACTGTGCAAAAATGTTTTCCTATAAAGATAACATTTGTTCTTTTCTCTGATGACTTATTTTTCTCTTGCTCTGAGTACATATTTAATGCCAACATCTATTAAGCGGTATTGACAAAGTGCCATGCTTGTTTACATGGTCAGTAAGTCATAAGACTTGTGCAGTGTGTTACGACAAGTGGTGATGTTAAAAACTTCAGAAAGTTCTGTCATTTTTACTGGAAGTGCTCTGTTATACCTCTAAGACTTAAAAATCTTCTTCTCAAGAATAGGAAAGGCATGATTTGGAAGCATCCTGAAGATAGTGGAGATTCAAGTTTGTTCAAATCATGAGATATGGTGTCAGGGTAGTAGGGCCAGAATGGACAATCAAACAAAGGCATATACAAGTATTGGAAAAAATCTTTAAAAATATTCTGCTCAAGAACAGAAAAGGCCTATTGATACTGGAGCATCATCAGGTAGCGTAGATTCTTGTTTGTTCAAATCATGAGCCAGGGGATAGGGTAGGGCCACAATGGATGATCAAAATGTAACAGGAAAGGAGAAAATGTATGGCTGGACCTGGGAATTGAACCTGGGAAGCCTGCATCACTAGTCAGGTGCTCTACCAACTGAGCTATCCAGGCAGATATCCACGGCCTTAACCAATGCATTTCTTCCTATTTAAATCATGTAAATTGTGTTTGCCCCGGAAAACACAACCCAAGTTCTTTTAGCCCCTGGCAAGACTTTCACCTGCAAGTATAAGGGTGGTCAATAGCACGAAATTATGTAATATGAAAGTTGAAAATGTATGTCTTAATTGACCAGGAATTGAACCTTGGACCCTTGCATCACTAGTCAGGTGCACTACCAACTGAGCTACCCACTCATATATCCATGGCCCAAACCATACAAAAAGTATACATTGGAATACTGTAAACCAACTTTTATTCGCGTGCGAGAAATATCTGCGACTTTCACCACCTTCTTTAAAACGCGAATATTAATCGCCGCAAAAGTTTTATTTTGCTTTGTGTTTGTAGAGAATGTTTCCTCAGACGTGAAAATTAATTTTAGCGGATTGATTTTAAACGGACTAATCGTGAATAAAAGATGACGCAAATAATAGTTGGTTTACAGTATAGGGAAAAAAATCTTAAAAACTCTTCTTCTTTAGAACAACAGTGGCATGATTAATCCAAATTATATTTATCCTCAGGTAGTATAGATTCAAGTTTGTTCAAATCATAACCCCGGTGGGTAGGGTGAGGCCAAAAAAGGCAATGAAAGTTTTACACTAGAATATTTAAGTAAAAATCTTTCCAATAATGGCAAAGACATGGTTATTTATATTGATATGGTAGCGTCCTCAGGTAGTGTAACAGTTTGTTCAAATTATGACCCCTGGGTGTAGGGGTAGGACCACAATAGGCGGTCAAAGTTTTCATAAGAATATATAGGGGAAAAAAATCTGCTGATGAAGAACAGCAGGGCCTTAGGGACTCAGGTGAGTGTTGTGGCCAATGTTAACTTCTTCATAAGAACCAATGGATATTATTTCAGCTAAACTAAACAGGAAGTGTCGGGTGAAGGGAATTCATTTCTGCTTGAATAAAACCTCCAGACAGGGAAGGACAAATTAGCATCAGTCGGATTGATAAGTTATTCCAAAAATGCAGCATTGGTATATCCCTTCATATTTAGGTCATCACTCGAGTCTTTTGAATGATCTATTGCTTTCTCTTCCTGTAAATCTTATTTGCATCTTCTGTAAACATTTGAATATTATCAGCTTCTTGTTTAAAATGGCAGAAATTTAGCATATAGCTATGAATGAAGGAGACCAAAAATTTTTAATTTAATTGCATCTGGTGCCATTCAAAAAGTAGCTTACAATGTCCTACTTCCTGAATTTAACAGCTTTTCATTGTAAAATATTTTACACACTAAGAGGCTTAGAATTATCAAACCTTGTCAATTGATGCATTTTGGTGCCTTACAGCACCAAGATTTCCCAAACTAGAAATAGGTCACATTGACACTGTTGTGCTGTTCGTCAGAACAGCCATTTTAGGCCCTTGGGCTTCTTGTTTAATAATGATAAACTAATTACCAGATTGTTTTAACTGAATATTATCCCTCTTATCTTTTTTAGGATGGCCAAGTCCTGGAAATATCTCAGGTTAATGACATTCGCTTAGGATTGGCTCCTAAAATAAATGTAAGTTTTCTGCTTTAAAATTGAAGTTTTGAAATTTGAGAAATGTAATTTTCATGGGACTTTGAGATCATAAAAATAAAATAGCATGTCATTATGTTCTAAGACCTTTTCACAAATGGTGCATGAGCAGAAGCAACAAAATATTTGTGTGACCAAAATATTTTGATTTGGATCGTAAACTGTTGCCGAAATAATCACAAATGAAAAAGTATTTGTATGAAATTTGCATGATCTAGAGCGACCATTGTGGGATGCAGACGCATTAAATCTTGCAATATATTTTGCATCTGTATGCGACTGTTGTACAATGAAAGCGAGTGTTGTAAGATAATGCAATAGGATCGCGCGAGTGATCAGGTGATCGGACGATCCAAAATGCTCTAATGCGATGAAACCTGAGGTGCTCGTGCTATCGTGCATTCCATGGTACGGATGCTCGTGCTAGTCAGAGAGAGGTTTTATACTTTCGTTTCCGATGCTCCTCAATTGATATAGTTGAATGCGAGAGAAGATGCCACCCAAGAAGATACAGGGTATATATACTAGTGGCAAAGCATGGCAAATTGAAGCTGATAAATCGTGCAATGATAATAGTAAAACGTTGCAAGATTACGAGACGTTGAGCAACAGTCTCATGGTCGCTAAACACACACACAGCTGCGATTCATCTTACGACTTTTAAAAATCGTGCATCACTCTTGCGAGTATGCAAAACATTGTAAGATTGTGATAATTTGGATCACATTCTGAATATTGTGCATGTCCACTATTTTGAGGAGACTTGATGGGACCACCAAAACACAATCAATGAATGTGAGACATCGTGCAATATATGCCAGAACTCCTGCAAAGCTATAACATTCTGATCACAAAGCGTTGTTAAGTGCTTATGCGCCAATTTTGAAAGGGCTATTAACGATCCTCTGTACACCTGTAACGGGAGAGGAGAAAATCCAGTGGACCAGACAGGGATTTGAACCCGGGCCCCCTGAATCTCCAGTCATGTGATCTACCAACTGAGCTATCTGGTCACCAGTGATGGAACCTGTCTGACCGCCACATTCCTCCCTCCTTAAAAGTCTTCAGCCCCCGAAGACACCACCCCTAGCTCTTCCCTGGCAGGTCTTTCACCTGTCACATCCTGGTTTCGGCACCAAATGTAATGGGAGAGAAGAAAAATGCAGAGGACCAGACTGGGATTCGAACCTGAGCCCCCTGATTCTCCAGTCAGGTGCTCTACCAACTGAGCTATCTGGCCACCGGCGATCGAACCCATCTGATTGCCACACACCTAAGGCCACCTTTAAAAAATTGTTTGGTTGCCTTCTCCAGAACTACTCAAAATGCCGTGAATCAAAACTGTTTTTAACCTCAAGAAAACAATTTTTTTTATTCGTTTAGAAGTTTTCTCATCTCATTAAAAACTATTTTAACATATTCCCAAGTGTTCCTGATAAAAAAAAAAAGAAATCCCCCTACCTACTGACCCAAATTTTTTATCCTGAGTTGGGAGAGGGCAAGCAAACATATTTTTAAAGATGGCCTAAGCAAAATGTTTTTTGGACATAGAGAACATTTTGTTGTAAAAAGGTGTAAAAAATGAGCTTATCTATTCCAATTACAACATAGAGTACCTGGCATATACCCTCAGAAAAAAATGTTCAAAGACAATAAAGTATCTATGGACAAAAATCACTGTTGTTTACTTTTTAGGGGAAAATACTTGCTAATAAAGTATTCAGTTAATTTATCTTTGCCTGTTAAATGTTGAATGCTTGAATTGATTCCAAATTGAGCAATACACTGCATATTTTCATTTATTTGATTTTAGAGGAAGATTTCTCTTAAGGTAGTTCTATACTCGGCACTAAATGAGCTCAAGCTTGAAAAACTTGCTTTTATAACATAGACATACATTCCAGCAATGGAGACATAAGTAAAAATATGTCAACATGCTTATTTTTCTGCTATTGCCTCTCAGTAGTATATACCCTGAAACGTCAAAAATTGAAACTTAAGAAAATGTACCTGTCTTCAAATTTGTCAAGAAATAAGAATTAAAATCTACACAGTCAAGCTATAATACTCAGAATAGAAACATGTTATTAAACCATATTTTATCATTGTTTGAGGTAAATTATTATAAGTATGTGCACTTTGTCGGGCTAACATATCAAAATGTAACATGAGAAAAAATGCTGCACAGGTCAATCTGGGTCATTTTAAAATATTTTTATGGACTCGATCTTTGAGGAAGTGTTTTCTTTTTACAAAGTAACATCTTGGAAAAAGAATTAGCTAAAAAAGTTATACATTGATGAGTTACTTTTCATGGTATAAGCTCTGCACTATAGGGACGCCCATGAAATTTTTCTCCCAAAAATAATATCTTGCCACATTTTACTATACATTCAAAGTTTGAGTGTATTTATCAAGTTTACATATGTAAAACAATAACTAAGCACATCCAATACCCACTGTCCGTAAAATTCACCTTGATTTAGATAAAAGAAATATACCATTCGTCAGTAAAATTATAGAGACAATGAATCTGACTGTGATTGACCAATTCTGGCAAACTGGATGATCTAGGTACAGAAAGTTGGTGTGCTGCAAGTGAATCAACTATTTTCATTTACTACTATTCTTTCTATTCTATTAAAAAGATATTTTTGCATTGTGCTTTAATCCGATGGGTTTGCAGGGCCAGGGGAGGGGCGTTGGGGTTTGGGTTGTATGTGTCAATAAAATGATAATTTATTTGTTTAAAGTTAATATTTTGATGTTTGAAATAATGAAATTTATTAAAGTTGTTGCTGTCAAATCGTACCAAATTCCTTCTTTTGCGAGCTATCAGTATTAACTTCACCTTGCAAGGATTTATCAGTACCTTCTCAGGGGCCGAAATTCGGCCCCATTCCCAATTGAAAATGAATCCAATTTTTCCCAATTTGGCAGTATTTTTTCCCAATTGGTGAACAATGCTTTTGTGTTTAAATATCTTGGAAAAACACTAAGTAAAATTGTCAGATTTGCTTGTAATTTTCCTATATTTAACTTATTTAGCAAAGCTACAGCCACAACACGTTTAAAAACACTGTAAACAGCGCCGACTTTTAATTTGAATTTCCTCCGTTTTTCTGAAAATGATGATATTGTGTAATAATTTAGATTTATTAAGTTATTTCCACCTACTCAATTGATCTATGAGTGAATGGTAAGAACTGTAGGCATTTTTTCAGATAAAAAAAATATTTTCTGTGCATTTTTAGCTCACCTCAGCGAAGTTGGGGCAGCTTATGTAATACCCCCGGTGTCGGTGTCCCAGGTTAAAGTTTTTTGAGCAGTTTTCTTTTCAAATACTCCTATGCCCTATATTAATCAGAGATGCATGGAGGATGCTTCTACTGTGTTTCATTGTACCAGTCAAGGTTTCAGATGCTGCAATTTCAGCTAAAGAATGACCAGGTTAATGTTTTTGGAGCAGGTTAAAGTTTTTGGAGCAGTTCTCATTTCCAAGTAACTATAGGCCCTATATTGACCAAACTTGCATGGATGATACATCTAAGGATGCACACTACTGAACTTGCTTCGGATGCTGATCTGACCTACATTTTCCAGATGAGTGACCAGGTTAAAGTTTTTGGAGCAGATCTCATTTCCAAGTAATTGTAAGCCTTATGTTGACCAAACTTGCATGGATGATACATCTAAGGATGTACACTACTGGACTTGCTTTGGATGCTGGATCTGACCTACTTTTTCTGGATGAGTGACCAGGTTAAAGTTTTTGGAGCAGATCTCATTTCCAAGTAACTATAAGGCCTATCTGAACCAAACTTGCATGGATGATGCATCAAGGGACAAACACTCTCAAACTTCCTTCAGATGCTGGATTTGACTTACATTTTCTGGATGAGTGACTAGTTTAAAGTTTTTAGATAAGTCCATTCTCAAGTAACTGCAAGCCCTATCAGACCAAAATTGCATAAATGTTGCATCTAGGGATGCACACTACTAGATTATTAGTTTAGTGTGGGACTTTGCCTTGCTTAAAGACAACATTCGTTGAGGTGAGCTCTGTAATCTCTGATTACCTATGTTTACATATTAAAAGGGGACTTTCAGAAAATGTGCACTTAATTAGTACAACATTTTGCAGGAGCTGGTTTATAATCTCCAGAAACAGATTCTATCCTAAGTTGTATAAATACTTTATACTCATTGGAGTCAAATTTAGTTTTTGTTAGTCTATTTTTCATAATTGATTGTGTATGATGAAGTTGAAACAATTATTTAATTGTCTGTTTGGTTGCCCAAATTAGAGTTCATGCTGAAATGTTCAAAGAACTACACCTGAATACATGATGTAAGCAAGATTTTTTATTTTTCCCAATTTCATCAAATTGCCGATAATTTTTTCCCAATTCCCAAAAAATGGCGTTTCCCAAAATAGGCTGATAAATCCCTGCCTTGCCCACCGACAATAGTCTTTGACTGTCTCTCTCGCATCGGCTTTTCTAGCATACTCATGGACAGTCATGGTCCATGTTTTCGGCACATTCTAATCCACAGAACTATCGTGTATGTTATATCTTCATTACCTCATCATGTCTCTGTCAACCTAAGTTTTTTCCATTCTTTTCCTTTTACACTTTCTTTTACCAGACCGACTTATAGCAAAATCATTACCGGATATTTAAAAGGCCGAGTAAAAGCTAAACCAATGTAGTTCAAAAATCACATCTCGGGAAAAGGAAGAGTGGTTCCAGTTTTACTATTTGTTAATGACGTAGTGTGAATATAGATCTACTTTAACTGCGTGAAAATACCACAAAATCAGAACTCTTCAGTTAGCACTGTTGAGAGGGTTCTTAAGGAGGTTGTATCCTGCTATCAAAAGTCTTGAACATTTTTTGTCACATAGCATAATTAAAAATTAAAATAGAAAATGGGGGTCAGTATGCTTATTTTGGCATTTGATATGACCTTTGATATGACCTTTTTGCATCTTACACATAAATCGCTTTTTCAATATTTTTTCCTCCAATATTTTTTATCCATATAAATCATGGGACCAAACACAGCCTTATTCTATCTTGAATAGAACATTCTTCATTTTTCTTTAAAATGTTTAATATTTGAAAATTTGGAATTAAATTATTTCTGATGAAAATACTTTTATTAAATTTATTTATATATGAGCATTATTCAGTAAAACTCAGTCATAAGGTAGTCCAGGGGACCTTTGAATTTAATTTGTTATATCCTTATAAAAAAATCATTAAAATATTTATAGGGAATTGGCAATACATGTATACATTTTTTCCTTCTAGTATGACCACTGAATATGTAAATGGAAGTATGCTATACAAAACTTACCTTGGAGAATGGAAGTTTTGCGATGAAATATGAATTCTTATGAAAAATAATGTCAGCACAATATTTTAAAGTTTGATTCCTTAAAGAGTCATTATAAAAGGTGTAATTTTTGAAATTTTTAACCTTTACAAGACAAAATCAGTTTGCTGTATCTGTAAACTCTTTATAAATAAGTTCTTTATAACCGTAAATGTTAAGAATTTTGTCGGGGATCAAAAAACACTCGCTATATCAGTAAATTCACTACATCCATGTACGTACTAAACAAGTTTTACTGTGAAGTGTTTGCCTTTTTAGGACTAGTAAGATATACTGGATTTAGGTTTTCAGTTCTTGCATACAGTAATAGTTTAATCTTCTACGCAGTCTTTTTTCAGGAAATAAAAGCAGAGACATAAATAACAGGGATCCACAACTCCTTGACACCAAGTGAAATAACTTGCTATTTCTTGAAAAACATTATTTTACAAAATAAAATCTGTTGAATATCCCATTAACATATTATTCAGAATGTTTTTATTTTTGGAATTTAATTTTCTTTATTGAACATAATAACCAAGGAGGAATTTCAAAAGGCAACAGCTGACCAGTTGTCACATATATCACAAAGATGTTGAGAACTTAAAGTCATCTTTAATTTTCTCATATTGCTTTTTTACCTTTACTTTTATGAATAAATCCAGGTCAAGTACATATTTCAGAAATCTGACCAGTTAATAGTGCAGTTCCTAATATATTATTAGCTCACCTGAGATGAAGGCTCAAGTGAGCTTTTCTGATCAAAATTTGTCCGTTGTCTGTCATCGTCGTCGTCTGAAGAATGGCAAAGCCATGATTAGTCACATTATAATAGAAGCATCCTCAGGAAGTGTAGATTCTGCTTTGTTCAAATCATGGCCCCTGAGGTAGGGAGGGACCACAATGGGCAAGCAAAGTTTTACATAGGAATATATTGGGAAATAAGGAATGCTGAGGAAAAACAGAAGTGACTCAGGTGAGCATTGTAGCCCATGAGCCTCTTGTGTTACTATAAATGTATTCTATATATAGCATGTTTAGTTAGCCTTCTTGTACATTACCCAATTGGAAAGCATTTAACAATGGAGGATCTGAGTATGAAAAATACAGATAAGAATTGAAATCCAGAAAAAACATACTGAACTGAATAGAAAACTTACAAATTGCAGTTAACCAAAATTCTAAATAACCTTGATAGGTCTAAACATGGTAGATATGTTACCCATTGCCTAGTGTTTTTAGCTCACCTGAGCTGAAAGCTCAAGTGAGCTTTTCTGATCACATTTTGTCTGTAGTCCGTCTGTCTGTCTGTCTAGCTGTCTGTCCATCCGTCCGTCCGTAAACTTTTCACATTTTTCGACTTCTTCTCCAGAACCACTCGGCCAATTTCAACCAAACTTGCCACAAAGCATCCTTGGGTGAAGGGGGTTCAAATTTGTTCAAATGAAGGGCCATGCCCTCTTCCAAGGGGAGATAATTAAGAATTGGTGAAAATTTGGTGTCATCTTTTAAAAATCTTCTTCTCAAGAATCATTGGGCCAGAAAAGTTGAAACTTATGTGAAACCTTCATTACATAGTGTGGATTCAAGTTTGTTCAAATCATGACCCCCAGGGGTAGGGTGGGGCCACAATGGGGAATCAAAGTTTTACATAGGAATATATAGGAAAAATCTTAAAAAATCTTCTTATCAAGAACAACAAAGCCACAATTAGTCATATTGATATGGAATCATCCTCAGGTAGTGTAGATTCAAGTTTGTTCAAATCATAACCCCCAGGGGTAGGATGGGGCCAGAATGGGGGATCAAAGTTTTACATAGGAATATATAGGAAAAAACTTTTAAAATCTTCTTCTCAAGAACAACAAAGCCACAATTAGTCATATTGATATGGAATCATCCTCAGGTAGTGTAGATTCAAGTTTGTTCAAATCATGACCCCCGGGGGTAGGGTGGGGCCACAATGGGTCATCAAAGTTTTACATAGGAATATATAGAAAAAATCTTTAAAATCTTCTTCTACAGAACAACAAAGCCACGATTAGTCATATTGAATATGGAATCATCCTTAAGTAGTGTAGATTCAATTTTTTCAAATCATGACCCCTGAGGGTAGGGTGAGGCCACAATGGGGGATCAAAGTTTTACATAGGAATATATAGGAAAAATCTTTAAAAATCTTTTCAAGAACAGGAAAGCCATGATTAGTCATATTGAAATGGAAGCATCCAGGTATTGTAGATTCAAGTTTGTTCAAGGCATCCTCCAGTAGTAGGGTGGGACCATAATTGGGGATCAAAGTTTTACAATAGAACATGTATAGGAAATATCTTTAAAAAATCTTATTCTCAAGAACAACAAAGCCATGATGAGTCACATTGATATGTAAGCATCCTCAAATAGTATAGATTCAAGTTTGGTGACAGGCGATCAAAACTTTATATAGGAGGAAAATCTGCTGACGAAGAACAACAGGGCCATATTGACTCAGGTGAGCGTTGTGGCCCATGGGCCTCTTGTTTTCTAATGCTGAGGGTAACATCATATGAATCAGGGTTTGATACTACTGGTAGCCTGCTAGCCCGAGGACAACTAAAAATTGAGGTTGGGCTACTAAACAAGTCATCAAGCTTGTCCTGAGGGAATGCTGAAATTTAAAATACCGAACACTCACTTAAAGCAAAAAAGTTCAAATCCTGATTTTGTTATTGAGGTTTATGGAATAACGTTTGAATTGTCATTGTCAGATAAGTCGGACTGTCAACTTTGTTATTAGTAGAAGTTGTTTTAGTCTGACCTATCAATAATCTTTATCACATAAATGTTTGATTAAAAAAAAAAGAGAATACAAGCAATGCACTAAAGTAGACAACAAGTTAACCTTGAAAAAGTGTGATAAAATTCTATAAAATAGAATGTCTGTTTGCAGAGAAGCTCGGAAGATCGATCGAGCTAAAGGTACGACATGAACTGTTGGCAGTTTAAAAAGAGTTCATTTTCTGCAATATATTCCGTTTCTATCACTTTTTTTTTTTATTGATATGAAAGTTTAAGTTTAATTCGAAGTAATTTGTGCATGAATTCACACAAAAAAAAGAAACCCAGGTTTGCTAGTCAGTCACATCATCATGTTAGTGCATTGTACCAGAAGTTTCAAGTGATTGGAAGCATCGAATGAATCGACATGATTTTCTGTGTATGTTTTGTAACAGGATCCCCGTACTTATGCTGAAATAGAACAGAGAGGTAATGGTAATTTGGAATGGAGAACTGTGACAATCTGCAGTGGACTAGACCTAGTCAACATCAATTACACACCAATGATAGCTGCTGACCCAGATACTGCACGGGTAAAATATGCATTATGTTTTTGTACTCCTGTGCTTTTTAGCTCGTTTGAGCCAAATATATCAAGTACAGTCAAACCTCATTATCTTGAACTCGATTGGACTGAGAAACTTGTTGAAACTTGAACCCAACATCTTATGTCATATTAGAATATTCATGACACTTCCTGGTTTACTTCTACAGCTTGAGTATTTCTGGCGTTTTCACTTTTGTGATTGTATTAAGGGTGGGATGATACACATACTGAACTGATCTTGCGATACAATATGTATCTCGATACATGTATATGTATCATGATACATGTATCATGATATGATACATGTATCTCAATATTATTATAAATTAGAAAATTATAATAAACTTAGTATTTTATTTATCTTCTTGATAATAAATCAACAAAATATTTTATATCAAATCACATGTGCTTTGAAATTAATACTTGCAGTTCAGCAACTTCATTGACTAAAAATTCACAAAAACAATATTGCATGTATGCATATCGCCAAATGTCTATAAATAATAAAGTCATTAAAAACAATATCACTGTATATAATTATTAATTGCTAAAAGTCTATAATCAAGTGGAGTTGGACAAAAATTTATGCACAATTTGTTTCAAAATTTCAACTTCTTTTTAATGAAAATTAGAGAATCCACCCTTTGTTCCGAGCTGTTAGTGCCAGATGGGCACTAATAAATAATAATATCCCAAGTCATGGAAAAGATACTTTCTGTATATAACATGCTTTACAAACTGCTAGACTTTTGTCAACCTTTCTTGTCCCGCTTCTGAGGATGCTAAAAAGTCAAAATGTTTCCCCCATATCTACATATCTAGTGCTAAAGCGTGTTTCCTATATTAATATTATCTCTTCCCTTCGTAAGCAGTGAAGTTCGTTTACCTGTCACCATTTTTCAAATCAATTACTTTCTTCATTTTCAGTTATTTGATAGTTCGTGTATCGTTTCCTACCAATATTTCAATGCATGTATCTTAGCAGGAAATATCAGTATGTATCCGTGTATCATCCCACCTTTACAGTGTATGCTCATTTTCTTACCAATTTTGTGAGCAGGTTTTAAAATGCATAATTAACATTGTTTAATTCAAATATATTATAATAAAAATTAAATTGAAATTGATAATTATTATATTAGAGGTTCTGTCCAAACAAGTGAGCAGACATACCTTAATGCTTTTTTTTGTTATTTGATACGTCATTTCAGAAAAAAAAAATTGAACGTCTTGAAATATTGAATATGGTTGCAATTGTATTAAAATTTTCATTTCAATATACAGCCCTATGTATGACCTAACAGTATGTCATGGCCTTTAACCAGGGTTATTTGTACAAGTTCAAGGTCACTTGCAGAAAAATGTGTAAATCTTCTCCAGGCCTTATCTAGCAATGGAGGAACACTGGAAGTTCATAATTTTCATAAAAGTTGCTCATAATACCTCTAGCTTTCTTTTTGAGTGTCAAATATACTTTTCTTTTTACAGATTTGGTATGAATGCCTGAGAAAACTAACGCCCAACACCAAAGCAAATAACATCTGCCCAATGACATCATTGAAAAAACAGTAGGTCTTATTTTATTTGTGTGTAAAGTATGTATACTTTTGTTATTTAGTGTTAACAGCTTTCAAATTGAGAGTTTTAAGCACTTGGTCTATGTTAATCAAAATAATGACTCAGAGCAGGAGGGGTGAAGGACATCACATTAATTCCTGCAATGTTGATAACCTAAGTTTTCAAAATATTGTAAACCAACTATTATTCGTGTCATCTTTTATTCTCGATTTATTAATAAATTACCAATGGGATACATTCTGTTGTCAGAATATATTTCTAATGATATCAGCATTATCATCTTAAAAGTCTGAAAATCAGAGCGACGATATGAGCCACAAGGGTTCGCACACTTTACATCAGCAGCAGTGTGTGTAGGTATATATTTTTCCTTGTATGTGTGTTCCTATATGTACCGAAGGAGGACAATATGTGCAGTGAAATCGACGCACAAAATGTCAGCAACAATATGTGTAGGGGTGACAATATATGCCACCACAGCCCTTCAGGCTTTTGATTATATAGGTATGTAGGGAAAAAAAGGAGATTCAAGAACTCTGTGTTTAAGATGGCTGTTGCAGTTCCTGCTGGATTTTTATTTTGGGATGGAATCAGATGTCAGGTTGATGTTGAAGTAACATAATCATGCTCGGATCTGTCCCATTTATTAAAGGAAAATTATGATTTTCATAAGAATGGACAGTGATAAAGTATATTTCATGCTTGATTAATGAGAGATGATATTCTTACGAAGTAAGAGGTTTATTTTGTCAGATTAGATCTTGTTAGGCCACACGACAACTTCTTCATTTATTCATCATTCACTTTAGGCGGTAGGCCATTAGTTTCAGAGAATTAGAAAGGATTATAGACATAAATGCTTGTTAAGTCCAAGTCAACTCATTTTTGTCTGCTTGCTTATAAATATCAATTATTCATTCAGTGATATGAAATTGTTAACCCCCATGAAACAAAAGTAATGTTAAGCTGAAATAAAGTACCATAATTTTTGGGGTATATGTTGATGGGGTATATAGGTCGAAAGGCTCATTTTCGGCCGTAATTTTTAAAAAATCCTTAGATAGGACGAACTCGGAAGATAGGACGAGGCTTGTTTATCGATTTTCTAGATATTCTTACGTAGATACTATGCATCAGAACATGTAAACCTCTTTAACTTAACCCATGATTTTAACGTATTGATAAAATAATTGTTATTTTTATGAGTACAGCATTTTAACAGTGTTTTATACAAACAGTTAAAACTTCCTTGAATTGTGATATAACTTATTTTCTCCAACTTGCCTGTTCAATGCCGTCGTAGTTTGACTCTGTCGTTAAAACATAAATACGGTAGTATACAACAGCTATAAGTAGGAAAATACCCGAAATCAAACAATAATAATTTCCATTTTAGAACATAGTGGACACATTCTTTTATTCTGACATTATTTACCGGGGTAAAATATTAACTTCGATGACATACATTTTTATATTTCTTGTCAAGGGATTCGCTAAAACACGCAATTGACTATTACATGTACATGTAACAGCGAGCAATTGAAATTAATCATATTAACATGCTATAATTTTGCTTGAGATATTGTTGTAAAAAATAAATTTAATTGAGAGTACATTCGCAATTTAACAGTCATCATGAATTTCACAGTTTTGTTTGTTCGATGATGTATAGCACTAATACCCCTGTAACAGCACTTGGATCTGTTAATCATGCCCCGCAGGTGTTTTAACCAACACAGGTGTTAACACCTTTGTGTACACAGTGTATATCCCTTTATCTGTCAGACAATTAAAATTCTATTAGAAGCCAATCTTAGTGTAATTCAGTGTACCCCTTGGGATATAAAACAAAATAGTTATAACTAGCGGTATATTTGGTAAATAATTTTAGGGAATTTACTGGCAACAATTTATTTCACGTATTTTACACTTAAACAAATATCACAAGACAATGAAAAAATATTTAGGTATACTATTTCAATTAATCGTTACAAATAAATGGTTAAAAAAAAAAAGATTACAATTGTGATTGTGAAAAACTCTTCCGTATTTTAAACTTTGATACAGTTGCGTTTTATTTTTAGTAAACGATTGCGACTTCCAACTTCACAAGATGGACACAGCATGTTGTAAATATACTTTGAGACATTATTTACTAGATGATATTTTAAGTTTTTTTGTACATCGACGGATATTTAATGGAACTTATTTTTTAAGAAATCAATGGAATAAATATTTAATTCTTTATTGTTTTTTTTCTCTCGGTAAAATAATTTTTAAAAAGTACGAAAATAGCACAGATTTGCTTTAAAATTGACATAAATTTTACTGATTTTGGGGCATTTTTCATAGACTTGAGCCTTAAATAGGACGATTCATTAAATAGGACGACCCCAGCGGTTCTGAGAAAAAAAGTATCGTCCTATCTTCCAAAAATTACGATACTTTTATAAATATTGGTTAATGTGAAAGAAGTTATAAAAAGTGTAATAAAACAATGGCATCCAAACATGTCTTAAATGTTTTAGAACAAAATAATCTGATTGAAGCATTTGGTCAACTGTTTACATATCACAACAAATGTTTCAGCGATATTAATAGCATAGCATTTTAATTGCATCGCAAGATCCACCTCATCAGGGTTCCACCTTATGCTCACATCAATCAGTCGAAATTTCATTTGATTTTATCTTTAATCTTAAGTACAACAGCTTAACTGTAATCATAAGGACTACTGCTAAACTGAAGTGTAATGAATATAAACTATATCATTACACTATTGACATATCTCTTTTAAATCTTGTATAACCCTTGAATGTCAGAAATATTTGTCAATATTAAGTATATATATGAATGAAATAGGTAAAGATAATGAACAGTGGAGCTATTTTTAGTACAGGAGCATGTGTAGAATGGAGTAAAGTGTGCAAAAAAGTAGTGTATATACACGTAGAAAAAAAAAATGTACCTGTGTAGAGAAAACAGAAAAAAAACCTAAAATAACAGCTATATTGACCTTTTATACATCTACATATACATGTTTTTAAAAAGATCTGTTGAAAAATAGCAAAAGAGATAAAGAAAATTAAAGCATTTCATGACAGTTGTACATTATTATATATGTAAAAAAAATGATTGGCAGACTTTGAAAAATAATAGTGCTATAGTAAACGGTAAATGTATAAGAACTGTTCAGCAGAGATTAAATATTTTTAGACATCCTGTTTTGCAAAATGTTGACAATATTGAACATATGTGTCAAGAACAAAAACTAAAATTTGACGCTATAAAGATGATGGAAATCTATGATATTTTCAGACAAGATTAGAAGTTTTTGGTCAAACTAACAAGAGGCCCATGGGCCACATTGCTCACCTGAGCACACTGGCAAGGCAAAAGCACAAATCAGTTTAGTATTGAAAAGATTACAAGGGGGGGGGGGGGGGGGCTTGAATTTTAAACTACCTGATGATGCTTCCTTGTCAATATAACAAATGGCTTTGTTGTACTTGAGAAGATTTTAAAAAAAATTTCCCATATATTCGTTTGTAAAAATTTGATCCCCATTGTGGCTCCTCCCTATCCCAGGGGTCATCATTTGAACAAACTTGAATCTACACTACCTGAGGATGCTTCCATATCAATATGACTAAACATGATTTTCAGTTCTTGAGAAGAAGATATTTTCCTATATGTTCCTATGTAAAATTTTCGATCCCCCATTATGCCCCATCCCTATCCCCTGTGGTCATCATTTTAACAAACTTGAATCTATACTACCTGAGGATGCTTCCATATCAAAATGACTAATCATGGCTTTGCAGTTCTTCATCAGAAGATATATTCCTATACATTTCTATTTCAGACTTTGATCCTCCTTTGTGGCCCCACCCTACCCCAGGGGCTCATGATTTGAACAAACTTGAATCTACACTACCTGAGGATACTTCCATATAAATATGATCAATCAGGGCTTTGCTGTTCCTGAGAAGAAAATTTTTAAAGATTTTTCCTATATATTTCTATGTAAAACTTTTATCCTCCATTGTGGCCCTGCCCTACCCCCAGGGGTCATGATTTGAACAAACTTGAATCTACACTACCTGAGGATGCTTCCATATAAATATGACCAATTTGGGCTTTGTTGTTATTGAGAAAAATATTTTTAAAGATTTTTCCTATATATTTCTATGTAAAACTTTGATCCTCCATTGTGGCCCTGCCCTACCCCCGGGGGTCAGGATTTGAACAAACTTGAATCTACACTACCTGAGGATGCTTCCATATAAATATGACTCATCATGACGTTGCTGTTCTTGAGAAGAAGATTTTTAAAGGTTTTTCCTATATATTTCTATGTAAAACTTTGATCCTCCATTGTGGCCCTGCCCTACCCCCGGGGGTCATGATTTGAACAAACTTGAATCTACACTACCTGAGGATGCTTCCACATGAGTTTCATCTTCCCTGGCTTTGTGGTTCTTGAGAAGAAGATTTTTAAATGATTCTATTAATTTTTCACTAATTCTTTATTATCTCCCCTTGAAAGAGGGCGTGGCCCTTCATTTGAACAAACTTGAATCCCCTTCACCCAAGGATACTTTGTGGCAAGTTTGGTTGAAATTGGCCCAGTGGTTCCTGAGAAGAAGTCGAAAATGTGAAAAGTTTACAGACGGATGGACGGACGGACGGACGGACAGACAGACGGACAGACGGACTACAGACAAAATGTGATCAGAAAAGCTCACTTGAGCCTTCGGCTCAGGTGAGCTAAAAAGTACATTTTAGAAAAAGGCTAATGAAAAGTGGTGACTACATCATACAGCAACACTATGTAAATGTATTTGGATCCTCTCCCCATTTCATAGCAGTAGTGGGTGGTCTGTATACTCGGTTATTAAATGAGTAATATAAATATTTTGTATAAGACAAATTTTCTGTAGCTATTTAGAGAATAAACAATAAATTTTACCCATATTTGCGTTAACAG